CTTGTTATATGGCTCAAAGGTATGTCAGTCCAGGGCAAGATTATCTCTGATCTGCACTACCAAGCTCCTGTTCCATTCTCCACTGATGTGCTGCCCAAGTTGAAGTCCTCCAGTATCCCAGGCTCTCTCGAACCTCAGCCCATTGAGCAGGGATAGAAGCCTGTCTTGGCTTACCAGCCCTCTAGTGGCAACCCACAGCCACAGCTCTTAGTCCTGCCTCTGCTCACCAGGCCTCTAGGGGCAAGTCACAGTTCTGCAGGTGGGGGCAGTCAGAGAAGGTTTCTAGACCAAGGGTGTGACTGCTCCAAACTAGCACAAATACTGATCAACATTAGTGCGGCTCACAGCATAAGGTGCAACAAGACCCCTAAGCTACAAGAAGCTTTCTGGATGGAAAATTACAGTACTGCAAGATATGAACCCTGTATGCAGTATAATAAAGAACTTCAATTACTGTGGGATTAACTTTATCAAAAAGGAAGTTATTTTTAAATTAGTAACTGTGTGCCAGATGCTCTCTGGCCCCCCTCGCCCCCTCACTCTCTCTACCATGGGATTACATATCATGCAATTGCATAGGACTCTGATCTTGTTAGATGCTCCCCTCTAATGTAGCAGCCAGGAAACTGATCAGCGGCCAGCAATTTCAAGGCTGATTTTCATATGTTCCTTTAGCAAGGAAAAGGGGATTATTACTGAACCCTCAAGTGTAATACCTAAAAGGTAAACTCCAACCCTATTCAAAAGATGCCAAGGTCTGAGACCTGAATGCACTTAAGGTACTTCCATACCAGCTTTGACTACAGCACAAAAGACCAGAAAGGGCTGTAACTTCACAGCCCAGGGTTTGGTGTATCCTATCCAACTAAGGTCTTCTTGGTCTCCCACTCAACATGTGCAATTTTTGGTTGGCCTACCTCTCCACCTGGCATTCTGTAGGGAGACTGGGTGCCCAACACATTTGCAGAACCTGGCCTGGAGAGCAGGTGCACCAAAATCCAATACAAGATCAAGCCCTGTGGGCAAAATGTCTTTCAAGTATTAGCCATGGTAGCCTGCTGTACAATGCATTTGGTATTTTACATAATGCTAATAAGTACCGTCTTTCCTTAAACAATTATTAACAAATCTCTCTGTTCTTAGGAAACCCCTAAAAATGTAATGAGTTCAAAATAGTCTATCCATAAATCCATAAAATTAATTCCTTGATGGGTTTTGTCTAAACCATTTCTTGGACAAGCAAAATTAAGCTGTTCCAATTTTAAGGCTAAAATACAAGGCACTCTAGAATTCCTCCATGATCCACACTCTATATTAAGGCACATTTTAATCTTCTATATTATATATAACTTGCATTATTTGAAGAGGACAGTTTCCTTCTGCCAACACTTCCCACTCACTTTAAAAGGACCCTAGGTGCCTAAGATTTGTTTTCTTAACAAATCTTAACACTTTCAGAATAAGTGGGGGAGATAGTTTTGGTAGAGAAATAGCAGACATTTCTAAAGTGGTGCTCAACACAAATGGACTTCCTTCGCTGCATGTTTACTTACTCCAGAAAGATTATAACCAATTTTGTTATCTTGTTGCAGAGCAAGCAGAGATCATGTTCCTAACTCCACAGACAACATACTGAAAAGTAGCAGAAGATTCGCTTTGTACTTTTCACTAAGCAATTCTGAAAACCTTGCATTCAGAGGGACTGAACTCTAAAAACGTTGGAATAAAAGCTGTATTGTTAAAATCCAAGACTATTTTAGAACAAACAGTTACTGAATCTCATTCTGCATGGCACTAGCTGGCATTAGTCAGTTATTTTCAGAAAACTGAGGTCATCTGACTTTTCTTGAAATAAAAGGATTGTGCTATAGAACGTAAAAATAAAGGAGCTCACATACTACTTTTCCTTCATTTCTCACTTTTTTAAATGTGGCGGCACGTGAAAGGTTAAATAGACTTTTTATGGGTCAACTTATCTACTGGATTTATTCATAGGTAAGTTCTTTGCAATGCGTTTACAAAAATGTAACAAAAGTTGTTAAAACTAAATAAATACTTCCTTGTCTGCATACAGTGAAGAATTCGAATTATGTGCCCATAATTTTAGTGGGTAGACTACAAAGGGATTTTAACTTGAGGAGCAATTGTCATAGTGTGAGATTTACGAGATGGTTTAGGGTAGGATGTATGGATTAGTGTTTTGCTGAATCAGGCACAAAATGCCATTACTTCAATGGTAAAGCTAAAAATGCCATTTTGGACCCTTGAACAGGCATGTTAAGGGTACAAAATCATGTTCTGAGTCTATATTCAAATTATATTCCTTTATGAAGTTCAAACTGCAACCAAACCAAGCATTAACTCAATATGGAGCAACATTCAGCTACAAATTGGCTTTACTGCTAATGTAATCCTGGTCACGTGCAGAGTCAAGTAAAGATGGGTTATGAAAGAAGTCTTGTACTGTTATCAACATTAGCAAGAGCTAAAGGGTAAAATTTATTTCTTGCTAAATTTCTGACCTTTTCAATCCAAACACTTCAGAGTTCACCGTTTTCTAGAGCCAGCAGCTTAAGGCACTAAAATGGCTAAACCTTGGTAACCTTTCACTTTTCCATTCCTGTATATGTAAGAGACATGCGAGACTCCGGAACGTTACTGAAGCATTAGCAAAGATTTCTTAAACTTAAAACCAGTTTTGTTTTGTTTTGAATATGCTAAATTGCTGCATGACAGGGTAACAGAATAGTTCAAGGGAAGGAACCAAATAAAATTTCCCCACTCTGGTAAATAAGAAACTCCAGACATTTTACTTCTTCAAAACAGTACAAGAAATCTAACTTTTGATTCATAAATGAAGGCCAGTTTTATAAAGTAGGTAAGAATAATTTCCCACAGTAACTTCAGCAATTCTAGTCAGTTAGACTAGAAAAAACTATTACATTAAAAATTATTATTTGGAACTTAGGTCTTCCATTGATCTAGAATACTTTACATCCACAGGCAATTTACAACAAGCTCTAGTTTTAGCAAAAGGGTATACACTGGTTACCAATTTCAGTTTCCCAGACCTCTGGTCCCTTTTCTTACAAAGATCATACTAATCTTGAAATCAGTTGGCAAGCTCTGTATAGATAAGGAAATGTCATTTAAAAATTATTTTTGTCTCCATCTACTGGAGGAGAAGAACACCACAAGGTGCCTGTGCCTGTGCCAGTACAAAAAATAGACAGAAAACTTTATACAACAGAAGGGCCTTCAAACACAGCCAAATTTCTTAGACTACCATCTGCCATTTGTTACCCAATTGTTTTCATACTGCCACAGAAGTTGACACCAACATGTCTAGTTAATTGCAACCTTTTAGTCACACAGAGCGTATAGGAACATATGCTGAGACTTCTGGCACTAGAAAAAGTGGCAAGAATATTTCCACAAACTATCCAAAATATTCCTGTTTTCCATTAGTCTTCATTTTTCCTAAACCATGTCAACACATTTGCTTTAAAATATTACTATATTAATCGAAGGGCAAACATTAGCTATACACAAATCTGTTACCTCTGGGTTTACACACTCTTTTTCAAAAAACTTCTGTTAGGGCTGTGCGAAATTTTGGCAGCTGTTCTGTTTCAGAGGTGTTTTGGGCCATTTCGATGCCAAAAACACCAAATGTAAAATTGAAACGGAAGGCTCTGAAACGTTTCAGAAATGTTTTGAAGAATTTTGGAATTTCGGAGCCAGGCTTGCAGGGAAACAAAAACTAATAAGAGGGAGGGGAAGGACTGCTCTTATACTGACATCTAGCTCCTGGTTAGATTCCACAGTTCTCCGATTGCTTCCCCCAACTCTTCCGGGGGGGGCGGCGCACAGGTCCCCAGTCTGCATACGGTGTTTCAGAAGGCTGCTGCTGCAGGCTGGGGCCAGCAGCAGCTGTTTGGCACAGCCTATGCTAAGCACCAGGAAGACTGCGGGGCTGCCACTGGCTCCAGCCTGCAGCAGCAGCCTGCTGAAACCTGGTGTGCAGATCAGGGGGTCCACACCCCCGGGAAGAGCTGGGGGAAGTCAAACCAGGGGCTGGGGAATCCCTACCGTGAGACCTGGCTTCGCAGTGAACAGAGATCCACACCAGGGTCTCCTCCCCACCACTGCTCACCCCATGCAGCCCTGGATCTCTGCTCCCCGAGGAGCCAGGTCGCACGGCAGGGACCAGAACTGCCCTGCCATGCGACTTGGCTCTGCAGGGAGCAGAGATCCGTGCTGGAGTCTCTTCCCCGCTGCTGCCCACCCCATGTAGCCCCACATCGCTGGGGTAGCACGGGACGGGCAGCAGCAGCAAGGAGACCCTGGCACAGATCTCTGCTCCCTGCAGAGCCAAGTCATGTGGCAGGGACCAGCAGTCTTGCTTGCTGCTCTGCACTGCTTCCCTGCCCCATGACCTGGCATGACAGAGATCAGAGATCTGTGTGGAGGTCTCCTTGCCTACACAGAGGGCAGCAGCCCTCCCCTGGACGAGCCACCGACAGCACCGTCCTGCTCCCTGCTGGGGCCCCAAGCCCCACCTGGCTGGGTAGGGCTGTGCAAAGCTTCCCTTACAGCCCATTCAAAACAGATTTGGCCGAAATGAAAAGACAGTGATCCAAGCACCGAAACGAATCACTGTCCTCCAAAACAGCCTAATCCAAAACCGAATTGAAACGCACCCATTTCGCACAGCCCTAACTTCTCTATGTTTACAGATAACTCAATGGAACAATTAACATACTCTGCATATTTTAGGAGCTGGGTGGTCTAATGACCCAAAACTAAAGGCACTTTAAATGTATAGAAAATGAAACTTGATAAATCTGGTAAAATAACTTTCACCAAATTTGTTGCTAGGCTATTTCTTCCATGAAACAAGGTATTATATCCATAATCTATTACCCTACATGTCTGCATGGACCTCCCAGAGGTGTTGTCTATTATTAAGCAGGGAGAACAAAAATTTGAAAACTCACAGGAATTGAGAACAGATAAACATCTGGGTCCATTTCGTCCTGGAGTACCTAAAATGTTCACAAAAAAAGATGATGTAAACTTTGAAGCAGTCTATGTTAACTTTGTGTAAAAATCAATTCCAGTATATAGAAAGCCCTTAAAAAAATAAAAACGGGGTGAGGGAGGTCTTCCAGTACCCTTTACATATCCAACACAAATTTAGGCAGAAAACAAACAAACTTCTCATGGAACTTTGCAAATGAATGCCAAAAATATATACAGTAAGTGTTAAACTGATTATGCACAGAAAACACTAGTTAAGGACCAGATATTTAAGCCTGTTATAAATGTTTCATTAAGCCAGATGGTAGTTTTACCTTTTACTGCCATCATTAGGGCATTTAAGAATGAGACCAATGACAGTAATAATAAGCAACTTTTCACCTGCACAAATATGAAAAAGTTAAACTACATTTGCTAGTGTATAACCTGGTTATCAAGTTCAAATAGACAGACCAGAGCTACAAACCAGGTTAACTTTTAGTTTAATTCATTTGATGTTAGGGTCATATAAAATAGACATTAAATATAAGATCACCTTTATTGAGAAGGCTAAGAATTAAATGGAGCCATTACTGGTAACCCTTGGCTGGTCCCGATTTAAACATATTTTAAAAACAGATAGGCTTCCATAAAACAATTACTAGATCAAAATTTATGAAAATTAAAACAAAAATAAGAAATACGGCTTAACTCGTCAGGCTGTACATAGAAAGTGCCAAGGTATCTGTATGAATTTACAAGGTATTTCAAAAACTGGAAGCTATTTGCATTGTGTATTAACCAGTGTGTTTGACCCAGTGCCAAATATACTTTGGTTTTAAAACTTAAAAGCTACAAAGAAAGGAACCCTGTGAGCAAATCAGTGAGTATCTATGACAGCATTATGTTCTGGAATTTTTTACAGAGACTCAGATCCATTTAGACTCGCGTAGACAAGCCCTATTGAATTCAGTTCAAGATTAGAAAAGCTGGGAACACTCAAGACAGACTACCTTAAGGGTTCCTTAGAGTTGGTCTATTTAAGTTAAAACACAAGGACTATAGGGAGGAGTCAGCTCAGGGCATACGTTGTCATACCTGATAACCTTTACATTCATTCACTTTCAAGTGCAAATTTAGATATAGATAAATAGTTAACATTAGATGTCTGCACACCTTTGGTTTCCGGAAAATTAAGAGGAAGACCAATTAGTAGTCTTTCAACTGGGGACACATTTGTGAAGACCAATTCTACTTTTAGAGCTTTTAGACTGAATTGATAACTGTAGCTGAAATGCTAGCAACAGCTGAGTTGGTGTCTGCGTGTGCCTGTGTCTCTAAATTGGAGGGCTGGAAAAAGTAAACAAGAAAATAATTTTACCCAACAGTTGATTGCTTCGGGCTTCATTGGTTCTCTTTGCTTGAAGCAATGTTCCTGATGAGTTGGGTAGACATTGGTTCAATGCACCAGATTTGGTCTTTGTTCCTAAAATTCCAAAAGGCTTAAGTTAAGGTTTAAGTTTACAACTAAATTGATAATTAAGAACCTACCCACCTTAAAAATGAGTTTAAAATTGTAACGTTTATTAAATGTGTAGTTACTAAACACAGTAGATTTTCAGCCAGTCTTTTAGGAGTTTTAAAAAGATAACAGAATGTGATCTATAGAACTAAAAACTAGTTTAAAATTCTTCACTAAGTATTAAGAAACTTGATGAAAATGTGATGCTATAAAACTTAAATGTATTAAATAGTCAGTTGTCCATTTTCTGTGAAGCCACATAACACCTGCTATGGCTATGGACTTTTTGGAGAAAAAAAAAGTTTCCGTCAAATCAGATGACAACCACTAAGACAAAGCAAGGTAATACACAGAATCCATTAGACCAGGGTTTTTCAACATGGTGGCTCATAAGGGGCTAGCACACAGCACAAGCCCATGCAGCTACTTCTGCAAAATTGGGGAGGGCCCAGGAGAGGACTGCATGCCATCCATGGTGGTGTTTGGAGAGAAGGGATTAGGGATCCCAAAGTGCCATCCTCACAGCATGTGGCCCAGCTAGTGTGTGGCCTGAGAGCCACACAGAAGGTGGATCTCTCTGTATTCTACTGTTTATTTACACAGTCATCTTGTGACAAGTAAAGCAGTTGCATGAAAAAGAGCACCAGCAATGTCTATTATACATCTGAGTTATTTGCTACCCTTGATGTCACATCCCTGTACATCAGCATCCCTCCCATGAAGACTGTTTAGAAGACAAAAAACATAATCCCTGAAAAGAAAATTGCTCCCATTCCCATTACTCTCCTCTGCTTTGTTCCTCACATGCAACTATTTCAGTCAGAACATGTTAAGTATGATTTAAACAGGAACTATTGTTTCTTATCCCATTATCTGGAATAGTTTTTGTGACTCCTTTGTTCCCATGGGTTTATTACATGATTGCCTGTCCCAGCATTGCCCCCATTCTTGCTCTCTCTCCCCCTTCTGTCCACTTTCCTTCTTATAACCATCTTTGTGCACATCCTTTCGCAATGACTGATGAAATAAACTACAGCCCATAAAAGCTTATGCTGTACATATTTACATATCTATTTCAGTTAGTCTATAAAAGGTGCAAATCTATCCTGCCTTTAATAAAACAATCTGAAAATTACTCATTTTTCCATATGGTGCCAACTAGTGTTCACTATATCAATTTGATGAGCATTTCTTAAAACAGCAACATGCACAGGACTTATAAGATAATCAGAAACTTGAGCTTCACCCTGACTGTAGAAAGGTTCAGATACCTTTTGGAGTGCTTTTTAATGAGTGTACTCTAGGACGGGGGACTGGCTTCAAAAAGATGCATCCAGAAGTGCCATTTTGATGTCCATTTGTGGAAGGCCATTCTCCATTCCTGATGATGATTGTGGCACTTGTAGCTATTGGAAAAAAAAAAAAGGTAGTATATTGTTTAGGACATTTGCCTAACTATAGTTAGGCAGCTATATTATGAAAATTTAGGTCAGGATGTCACATGAGAGAATGTTTACAACTCCCCCCACCCCCAAAGGACATTATAGAATAAGAATCAATATAAAAAGCCAAATATCTGCCTCCTTTACATAATTTTTGTATGGATAAGGTGACAAAAGTTATAGTTGCCGATTAACCTGTGCAATATCAAAACGCAGATTTTCAAAATCTGGACATACAGTTTTGCTTTTTGCATATAAGTTCAACATTATAAAAAAATCCAGTGCGCTATAATATGCATCTTGGAAATATGGGTCCACAGTTCAAACTAATGGAATTATAATTCAGACCAGTTACACTAATATTTCATTGATAAATAATACTGCTCAAAAAGACAAGTTTCTTTGAGTAGATGTGGATTTCTTTTATTAGATCAACTGAGTAGTTGGAAACAATGTTCTTTGCAAGCTTTTGGGGCACAAACACCCTTCTTCAGGCCTAAGAAGTCTCTGCTGCTGTTCTGAGATCTCCAAGGAAGGGAGGAAGCTAAAAGCGTGACAGGAGGTCAGTGAGACTATAAATAGGTGGAAATTAGGAAAACAATGGTTAAACAAGGGAGGGAGGAGAAGGGAGGAAATGAGGGGGAAATAATGTCAGAGGTAAGCAAGGGAGACTGCTGTAGTCCAGTTTTCCAAGATAGAAAAGAAGCAGTCTGTGAAAAAGTAAATAGCTGGAAATTAGGAAGACAAAGGGTAGAGAAGGAAGGGAGTGGAGAAAGAGGGGTAGGGGGTGAAGTAAGGCAAGGTAAAAAAAAAATAAAATAAATAAAAGGTAAGGTCAGGCAGGTACCTGGTAAATCAGATGCCAAGCAGGTTGTAATGCGTTATAAATCCAGCGTCTATATTGAGGCAATACATTTTTTGTATCTACTAGATTTCTGAGGTGAAGTTCACAGGCTCATCTATGAAAAGGTCTTTTATAAGTTCCCTAGAGGATTAGAACTGAGAGATCAAAGAGGGAGCGATTGTCCTGTGACAAGTGTGCACCCACAGGTAACTGGATATTTTTCCTCCGATGGATTTCCGGTGTGCATTCATTCTGGTGTACAGTTGTTCGGTTTCTCCTACATATTTTCCATCAGGCCATTTGGTGCACTGGATGAGATGTATTACATTTCTGGAGGTACAGGTATAAGATCCAGGAAGGGTGATGGTTCTCTGTAGTGGGGTGTGGTTATTGTGGGAATGGTGGAGATGTGTTGGCAGGTTTTGCATTTTTTGTCCTGGCATGGTCTGGATCCACTTGGTGTGGTTTGGGTCATAGGGAGTTTGCTTCTGGTGATGACGTTAGTGAGGTTTGGTGCTTGTTTGAAGGTTAGAACGGGTGGCTCTGGAAAGATCTATTTAAGAATTGGGCTTTTCTAGTATGGGTTGTGATTATCTGAAGCTTTTCCGTTTAGGTTCCAGGAAAGGGTGGTATGTCATAACTAGTAGCGTGCGATTAGTGGGGATTTTCTTTTTGTACTGCAGCAAATCGTCTTGTGGTACCCAGGTGGCTCTTTCAAAACTACAATCCATCTTTGGAGAAGCGTCCTTGTTGGCTAAAGGCCCTTTTGAGATTTGTGAGGTGGTGATCACAGGTATCCTCCTCTGTGCAAATTCGGTGATATTGGTGAGCTTGGCTGTAAATTACAGCTTTCTTGGTGTGATTGCTTGTTCTGTGTAGATATACATGTTGGTCCACGGGTTTCTTATATATGGCAATTTGAATTTTACCGTTTTGAATATTGATCATAGTGTCCAAAAAGGAAATGCTGGTGTTAGAGTACTGTATTCAAGTGATAGTCTGATGGAGGGGTGATGATGGTTGAATTGATGAAAATCAAATCTGAGACTACAGGGCTTTGGTCCAAATGATGAAGATGTCATCTATATACCTCAGGTATAGCATGGGTTTGATGGTGCAGTTCTTGAGGAACTCTTAGTTGGTCTAATAATGCCACATCTACCCAAAAGAACCTTGCCTACCTATGTCCTTCCACCAACACGGCTACAACCAAAAACGCTGATCAAAAAGTAATTTTAGCTGTTATATAGTACTTTGTTCAGAATACTACAAAGAAAGATGCATCTTTTTTAGTGACAATAAAACAGATTTTTAATCTTTTGACAAACTGCTTAATATCAAGTCAGTGGAAGGGTTCAATAGAACTGATGTCCTGATTTCCCATGTTCTGTTCCATCTATTGAACCCGTCGTCTTTTCTTTCCACTTAACACTATGTCCATTCCATTTCTGCTTTTATCTCCAGAAGGTGCCCTCACCTCAAACAGCTGCAGATTCAACAGCAATAGAATTATGTTAACTAATCATACACACAGATGAAGATACCCTTGTCACTAGGCTGGCATTTTCTAGAGGGAGAGGGAAGGGGAGAGTGGGGGGGGGGGGGGGGGGGGGAGGGGGGGGGGGGGGGGGAAGGAGAGAGAGAGGTGAGGGAGTGGGGGAATAGAAGCAATATTGGGAAGGGGACAGGTACCACTGGAAAGAAGATGGGTATAGATAAGGACATTGCTAGTATGACCATCTCAAGATAGCTTTTGACTAAGGGTTTGCTTAAGGCTTTATTTTCTAGTCTTTATTTGGGAAACCAAATTGTCTCCTGTTGCACTTAGCATTAGCACAACAGCTGCCAGTAACTACATAGTTGTATTTCTTAAAGTTTTGAGAAGTATCTAAACACTTTTGAAGACCACAGTAAAATATCATATTCAATTTGGATATGATGAAATGTAAAGCTTTATGGAGCCATTTTCTATAGGACCAGGAAAGCACTGTAGATTCTTTATATAGTAACACGCATACTTGTGTACTAAATTCTGTGTAATTTGCAGTTTGAGACCAGTCTTTAGTTTATTAATACAAAACCATTTGGCAATTGCTCAAGAGCAAGTTACTATAGCAAATCAGCAAGGCAATTTAAAAATGTAGCTATCTTTGAGAAATTAACAATATATCGTTGCATTAGGGTTTTTTTGTTTAGTTTTTTTGTTTGTTTTTTACCTGTATGAGCCTGAAAGACCAGTTTCACTAGATTAGCTTCAAAGACCCATACACATTCCAGGCATATCAAGAAACAAGAAGCATATACTACATATTGACAAGTAGGAGATACCATATACAGCTCACTAAAAACTTCAAACAAACACTTTCAGAAAGTTAGTGCCATGCAAACTTTTGTCAGTCCAGCTTGAGAGATTGTGGTCTACCAATTCTCATAGTTCACACAACCCAGAACTAAACGCCATCCAAGCCCCATGCTCCCTCTCACTCCTTGCAAGGTGGGTCCCATGCTCCCTCCCCCTCCCACAAAGGCAACAGGTTCCCTGGGCCCTTACAGGACACTTCATCCTACCCGCAAGGGAGAGTGCAGGAAGCAGAAGCTGGGAGAGGAACCTGGAGGGAAGCAGAAGCTGGGAAGGGAACCTGGAGATCCCAGCAGCAACAGAAACAGAAGTAGTGGAAGGTTTGGCATCCAGGCCACAGTCCATAAGGCAGGTGCTAACCTTGCATCCTCTGTATGCCACCACTTAGATAGGCCTGCCTGAAAATATCAAAAATAGACCACCTATATTTATTCACTTCAACACTTCATAACCATGAGTCTCACAAAAATCAGTTGTAGCCGGATCAGGTCTATTGACTCCATTTTCTTCGTCTCTGCAGAGTTAGATGATTTTTTTAGTCCTAAAAGTTAGAGACAGTATGTTTGACTGAGCAAGGCAATAGTTTTTGTTTTATGATGTCTTATTGGACCAACTGTGTAGTTGAGAAGGATGCTGAACAACCTTTCAGTCACAAAGTGCCTTTCTTTACAGCTGGGAAAGAAGCAGGCACAGCTTGAGCTCAGTTACAGATAGAACAAGGGCCTGTGTATAACTCCATATGTAAAGGCAAAAAGTCTGCTTAATCTCTTTCTGTACTCCAGTTAACACTTGACCCTCTTGAAAATTCTTGCTCTTCCACATTACCTAGCTGTATTTCTCCCATATTAAAAAGCTACTCGTGCTCAGTCTTCTTCACTACTGCTTTATAGCCCTCCTCCATATCTTTAAGCAGACTGTTTACTTAAGGAAAAGATTTGTAGGGCACAGTCAGTCCCCCTGAGCCTGTTTCTAAGGCTTTTTGGGGTCACCACCTTGGCCTGGTCCAAGAGGAAAACTGGCCAAGTAGATCATGCTCTCCTCAGCCACTTGGTATGAAATGTACTCGGTCTTGGAGAAGTCCAAGTCCAGTGCACCAAAGACAGCACTGAGAACAGAAAAGAGCAGCCACAGCTGGGGACAGTCTAGGAGAGACTTCTCCAACTCCTCCTCACAGAAAGGGCAGGCCACCAACACTATTGCGTACAAATGATGGATAAGAAGTGCCCATGGCCAGAGGCCCATGCAGCAGCTGCCACTCAATATCATCACTTCTCGTGCCAAAGGACACTCCGGTGTTGCTACTACTAAGTGTCACTTTCACATCATCTATGGGCAGAGAGATTGCACATGGCCAGAGAAATAGGCAGAAATTGTGGCTGGTGAGGTGGCCAGGGAAAAGAGGGGACATGTCTAGTGAGCTCCAATCACGGAGGGCTTCTCACATGCAGAGGCAGTCCTCCAGGACAGCAAGCTCATCCACAGGGAAGGCAGCTTTCACTTCAGCCAGGAGGAATAAAGCAAAAGTTGACAGAGTGCAGGCCCTGCTGGTCAGCCACAGGTTTTGCCCAGAGCCAGGCAGACCAGACTAAGTTGAAAAGGTGAATCAGCTTGATGAAGCTTCCAGAGGCTTGACTCTGTGCCCTCTGCTGCAAGGCCAGGTTACGGACCAGGGGTTCCCTACAGCACTCTAGGAATTGCAGGTATTTGCCCTGGGGTCCCAGTCAGAAGTAGGCCTGGTAGGCTCAGATGAAGCTGTGATAG